TGCATATTCAGTGGGAGCAGCCCTCACTGAACAAACAGCTTTTTCATGTTAATTTATCTTTGTCATTCTAAATTCATTCCATTCTCCCCTTAGTGGCATTTAAAATACTGCACTCTGATCTTATCTTTATTTATATCTTGCTTTGTAGTACTGTCACGGTTCATTCCACATAAAAATTTTTTAGCTTGCATACATTGAATTTTTACTCCCCTATATCAATGATTGCCTGCGTGCAATAGATAATCATGAACTGACGATGGTAGTGGACTGCCGAAACATGTCTTATTGGGGCCGTTAAGGCCATAACTTATTTGATTAAATACAGGCTTTGCCTATGATGAAGATACGATCTGTTGTGTTGTTTTTGAAAATAATGTATTATTAATGATATTTATATTACAAATGTATTAAAAACAATATACTAATATGATAATTATATATTAACGGTAATATGTTAATACTGTAATGATAATGTTAATAATACTATATATTAATAATTATTTATATACAGTATAATAATAAATTATATATTATAATATTATAATGAAAACTATACTGCACTGCTTATGTGATAATTATATTAATGATCATAACGATAATTATATATTAATAGCAACACAGTATATTAATAATGATAATTATATTATATAATAAATCAAGTGTACCAAAATTGACATAGTAAAATAGAAGATTAAAAATGATTAAAATACAATATTACAATCACAATTCTACTGATAAAAAGTTAAAAAACTGCCACATGCGCATTGCTTAGTTTGGAATTCCCATTTCTTCATCGTAAATGTTACCGCTACGTACTGTTTCTTAATGACTGTTTCCTCTTGATTGTAGCAGCCTAAATGTGCGGCGCGAAAAGGCATTATTCAAAAGCACATAATTGAGATGAATATTTCATTAAAAATCACATGTAACAAACCTCATAGTGGCCTCATATTGGTTGGTTCCCATGAAAGGAAAATATAATGTATTTCAAGTTAAAACTAAATAATAGCGTGCAGGTAGAGACTCACCATTTGAGTAAAGAAAGCAATTTCTTTTGGCTTCTCGGAGTAACGTTCAAATTGGTCCAGACTGTCCTGGAGTTTCAAAGTCAAAGTTTCATAGTTCCCACGAACAACATTCAAAACCTATTAAGAATTGGAAAAATAAATATTTAATGAGAATAGTCTATACGATATAATCTACCATATATATGTATGTCATGCTGCATTTTTGGCCGTTAACAGAACTGGTCCATGGCACCTGGCTTTTGGAGAAAACCCGGGTTATAAATCCTGCTGGTTTGTTGAATAGCGATGGGTTCTTAAATTATTTATTGCCACTGAAGCCCATGAGATGAAGTGAGTGATTGTAATGAGTTTCTTGTTTACATTCCAATGGCTATAGTTGCTGGCCAGGACTCTCTTGTTAACTCCAAATGCACATTCTTAAAACCAATTAAAGTTAAGTTTATGGAGCTGTTAACAGCTCCCTCTGGACCATTTGACAGCTCACTCTCAACTATCAGACAGCTCACTATGGACCATTTCTGCTAACGGGGACTTTTGCCTCATGTATGCATGCATGTATATGAGAGAAAAATAACACTATAACGACCAGCCGTGTCACGTCTGGCACAGCGGTATGGCATTGGATTTTCAATTAAGGCTGTGGGTTCGAGTGATGCTGTTTAAGTTGCTTGCATACTTGGGCAAAACACTTCCTCTGCATTTGCCTCTCGTCACCCAAGAGTATAAATTGGTACCAGGTAGGAGGTGAAAGTTTTGGAAAGAAACTGGAAATTGGTCAATTCATGCATAATTAAGAGCACTCCCCAGTGTTGGAGGTTACATGTTGCATATGATTGATTCGGTATCCAATGTCCAGGAGAAAAGAAGCATGTCATAGCCGAAAAGAAAGGTGCTACAAACATAAAAAATAGAATATATGACATATATGTATGTATATAAAAATAATATGGTAATGGCTGTACATTTATTAAGCGCATATTACAATATGTCTCTATGCGCTTGAAATGCAAAGTCTTGGAAGTAGAAAATTAAAAACCGAGAAATATCCTAAGACTAACAAAAGCAAACAACCGAAGAAACAAAGGGAAGACAGCAGGAGGAACCAGTGTCACTGCTTTGTTCTCCAGCACTTTGAGGCCCAAATGAATAGGGCTCGCTGGAATATGATTCAAAAGAGCTCTAGTGACACTGGCATCTGACTATCCTATCCAGAAAGAAAGAGCAGAAAAGGAAAACAGATTTAAAAGAGCAAAACAGGTGGGTCTTAAGCCTCGTCTTAAACACGGAAATAGATGGAGACTCGCGAACAGTGTCAGGTAATGCGTTCCAAATATTAAAAAATAATATAGTATAACAATATAGATATCCCTCAAAATGAGGACCCCTCCAAGTAAAGACCACCTCCAATTAAAGACCATTTTTCTGTGGTTCCAAATTAATAAATGTCTTGTATCTTTATTAATCTAGAGACAAAAGCTGCAGGAGTGTGGAAAAAAAATCTCTCGGAAATTAACCCATCTCTGGGAATTCATAATTGTGCATGTTTTTACTCCGTTATCAATTTTCTCATGAAAGTAAGTGCCGATGGGTATCACTATGTGCAGCCTGATAAAATAAAATGCGTTAAGATGTTAAGAAAGCTCATTAACCAGATCAGTGACATGACGAGACTTGGAGAGCCGGCCCGGGGTCCCTAAATATTTCAAAATAATTATTTTTCAAAGAGGTAGAAAAGAAAATTATATTCAAATTTAAGTCTGGCAGGGCCATTTCCAACCATCTAGAGCAGGTGAGCAGGTACCATAAGGTAAAAAAAAAAAAATTGTGCTGGCCACGTTTTGGGAAATCCAAAAAAATTGGTAGGTCGGTAGGAAAAATAGGCTAAGCCAAGGCTATTTCAGCCTTATTTGCTCATAAAAAAAAATCTAAAATGCTGACCCTTGATTTCATAAAATTTACAGTCATTTTTCTTTTTGGCCTGATTACAAATTTTCCTGCGTAAGCACCAACCATGGTGATGCTGAGGTGCTGTAGACCCTTCTGCCTCCCCCAACCCTCGCCCCGCCACCACAGATCCCCTGGAAATAACTTCTTTCAACTTGGGACACCTGTAACAAGTACATTGTTCATAATTACAAGTGAATCTAACACACAAACATTGTCATTTTTAAAAGCGCAAGTTTACCTGTTCTTCAGTTAATGTAGTTAAGTTATTGGAGGCTGACCATGAGTCAATCTTTGGAGTAAAATGATTGATGATTGCTCTAGAAAAAAAAAATAATGTCAAACATGTACAATAGCAACCAACAATGAAATGACACCTTTCAGTATAATATAATATATTTATTTCCTCCAATAAAACAGGAGAAGGAGGAACAAGTTCCTATCACCAAATGGTTTCATCTGCCCAAAAAATTAAAACGATGATGACATAAAATTTTAGACATATAAATTCAAGTTAAAGATTCTACTCCACCTGGTGTGCATACATAGTGGGTACAAGGCCTCTACACCCAGCAGACCTGTCGAGGGTTGAACACCGCAATGATCGCTACAGGATCGCCAGTGCCGATAGTCGTGTTTGTACATGTTGTATGCTTGTTTTGAGAAAATAGCACATTAAAAAAATATAATTTGAAGAAATTCTGGAATGTGTGAGAATACATAGGCCTCGTGTGAGGGCGTAAGGTCGAAGTTAGATGCGTGAGACTCTTGCAAAATGTGTGAGACTTGACAGGTCAGACCCAATGCTACTAAACTGAGTACACACCATGCTGAGTGAATCTGAGCACTTTACGATGAGATGACAATCTGCGTAAATTTTGTTGAAAAAAATCAGCTGCAAAAGCCTTTGTCACCATGTGGTTTCTAGGAAATTGTCAGCCGATGTAATCTAGCTTTGCCCTACCTTGGCATTGATTCTGCTAAGTTTTTCTTTTTTATTTATTTTTTATCCTAATCTTAAGTAGCTCTAGTAGCAGCATTCTTAATGGAAAATTCTGTTAAGAAAAGAAGTTCAAAACATGTACCTTATATTTATTAGGCTTCCTGTGAGTTTGTTTGCTGTGTCTCTGTATTCACCATTATTGGTTGAATGTCGAAGAGCTAAAAAGACATAATATTAACAAATTAAATGGAGCTGTAGTCTGTGGCAGAGTTTATTCCCAGTGATGTGGTTCAAATGCCATAAAATTGCACAATTTTGTATTAAGATTAAAACAACTCCACTCCCTAAATTTTATTCCAGCATTACATAGGAAGTGGTAACTAGGAAGAATTATGTATCAAAAGAAACAATATTTGGGTATGCAGAAATAGGAATAAAAAGTTTTAACAGGACAAAAGATTTAAATTTTATTCCTTTATTTATTTCCGGAAATTGCATTGCTTCATCCATAAAAAATGATAACAATAATAACAATACATTTTTTATTTATTATTGACTGGTATCTTTTATTCATTCACATATAAAATCTTCAAAAATAGCAGCACAGGCTGAATTACAATTTAAATGTACAGTGAAAATTAATGGGTAGATACAAATCTATAAATGAGGAATTTATTAAATTAGCTTTATACAAATTGGATGAAAAAAAAGGTAAGTTGAAAAAGTCACCGTTTATATATTAGATACAAAAAATGACAAATTAAATTTCTAAAAGCTTAAAAATTATTATTATTATTTTTTTTTTTTTTTATCTATGGTGTAGGTTAAGAAGATAGGGTTCAAGTTCAAAAGATAAAGTGTAATTTAGTACTGTACAGATTATTGATTGACAGTTTAACATTTTAACAAAAATGACCTTCTTGTGTCTTGTACTTGACTTACCCATGGAATACAAGTGATCAAAGATTTGATGCATTCTTATGACTTCATAATACAGGTCATCGTAACTGGTTGGATTAGGCAAGAACGTGTCACCATAGGTGATGAACAGATTAAAGATGTTCACCACTTGAATAGCGACCTCAAACACATCAAATTGAGCCATCAATGTCTGTTCATTGGATAGCAAGTATTTTAGCAGGCTAATCAGAGCTAAAAAAAAAACATAAAAAAAAAAAATTGCTCAATCAAATAAATCAATCTGTACGTCCTCTGTGACATCTCTTTTTGATTAGTTAGCCGGGAAGAGTTATTCCTATTTCTTAAGCCGAAGAAACCAAGTTTTATCCTAGCTAGGGCCCGGTTTTAAATGGAGTCTGATGGTTTGGCTCCACGAATAACCTTCACATGAAAACATGCATACGGACATAGCAATGTACTTGTTATATGTTGGTACTAGCACTACACTGTGGGTGCCTGTTGCTTTCATAATCACTATGGATAGATATTGGTGTACAACAAATGCACATATTCCTCATTATTAGTCTCAACAGTGTTCTCTTTCTATTAATCTTTATTCTGAACCAAGCCTCTCTTGGCCAGCCACAAGATTCAATTTTCTATGGCTTCCAAGTAATTAAATCAGACATTCCCACAAATAAATCCTACGTTTAATTGTCCTATCTTTCATGCTGAACATTATAATACTAACTATAAGTATCATATTTATAATTTAATACTATAATTAATTTTTCTTAAATCAAATTAGGAAGACATGCATACCTGTCCACAGATCTTTCCAGCAGTAATGCAGACGTACTCTGCATTTTTTCTGATAGCACATAATTCGATGAATGATACCAAGACATTTTCTGAAAAATTACATATTTTCTTTAATAATAAATACAACTGTTTTTTTTATGTCCACTGATGGGGAGTGAAAAGATTAAGTGAAGGTGCTCAATTACTAAGCAAGGGGTATTTATTTTCCCAGCAAATTTCCAATGGAGGGGAGAATACAAAGATATGCCACTGTATAGACATTTTCATGGGATTTATTTTGAAACAGTGCCGCCAACATCTTGCAACTCACTGGGAGACTTCCAGTGGCCTAGCCTGAGCAGCCGGCTAGTTACAAATACAGCACCGCGCAGCGGATATCGCTGCTAGATCTTTGCTATAGCAGCAGTAGACAGCAGATATGATCTTGCTAATTACTGTACTTACTGTATATGTAAACATTGGAAATAGCTTTTTAAGACTTTAACTTGTCTTTAATTTCGTGTTTTAAAATATTTGTACTTGTAAGTAATTTGTTTTGTTTCGTTGATTTAATCCATGATAGTGAGTATGCAGAGCAAAATGCTAGGCCTCCGAAAGTCCTTCAGTGGTAGTTGCCAGGTTATCGGAAATTTTCATTTCAAATTTCGCAAAAATGGTGTATACTTATAGTTCATGTCCCTGGGTGTAATGCAATACCATACATACTGTATGTGGTGTTAACTGAAAAAATTCTCTATGAAAAGTCCAATTAAAGCAATGAATTGCTTATTTAAAAATACAATAAAAAATATAATATTAATAACTAATACTTCTTATATATAATATTTATAATAAATATATCAAATAAGTTAATTTGATTACCAGTCAACTTCACTTTTTATAGAAAAAGTATTATTTATGCACTTTTTATTTGTTAAGGAATTTCTTGTACTAATTTTTAATCAATAAAAATAATCTTTCCAATATTTAATTTTATTGCTAATTTTTTTTTACTCCACACACAGAAAGCAATCTTTTAAGTGTGCACCCACAATGATTTATACTCACACATACAACTCGTCTGGAAAGTTCTTCATCATATGACTCATTACAAACTCCACCATTAAATCTGAAAAAAAAAAAAAATGAAATATTCAATGTTAAGTAAAGTAATAAAAATAACCTTTTATGTTAAACCCAAAATGAGTGATGCTGTAGCTTGGTGGTGTAGATTAATTCACTCCGTAAACCGTGGGTCGCGATACACCAGTGGGTCGCCAGAGTTAAATTTGCTATTCTAATGCCACCATGCAGTTTACAGAATAGACGTTTTACCATTGTAGGGTATACTCCTAATATTTTCCTGCCAATTTAACACACCATTTTGATCATTTTGAATTTCAAAAAAAGTATGTTTGTACATGTATACTTGTTGTGGTACACTGATGGAACCTAAAAAAAAAAGTCTGGCATTCAACATGTTAGTGTCTGCTTAAAATGATGTCCAAATCCAATAAAAAAAAAATCGTTTTTATCATTAAAACATAGTTAATGATGAATGATGAAGTAACTTACCAAGAAGAGCACACGCCAATGGCCGTGACGGCATATCCCTTTCTGCTAAAGGTTTCCGATGTCTCATACGCACTTTATGAAGGTGCACTTTAAAAGTCAAGTTAGCATCATGCAGGAATGAATTTGCATACTGGTCCTTAAAAAATTAAACACAGAACATTTACCTTCCATTGAAAGTATTATGAATTTTCGTTATTATTATCATTGTTATTATCATCATTGTCAATAACATTGTCACTATTTTTATTTTGTTGATTTTTTCTTTGTTGTGAAGGATATATTGAAAACGTTTAGACTCACCCAACGTCACTATTTTTTTTCAGTATTATTGTCATCAAAATTATCATTATCACCACTATTATCAAAATTAATATTATTGTTCTTATATAATATCTTTAATAATTTATCACCATCATCATCATTTATTATGATCGCTATTTTTATAATCATCTTCATTTATTATTATTTTTGTTCAGTATTATCGTCATCAAGATTAACATTATCACCACTATTATCAAAATTAATATTACTGTTCTTATATAATATCTTTGATAGTTTATCACTATCGTCATCATCATCATCATTTATTATGATTGCTATTTTCATAATCATCTTCATATATTATTATTTTTGTTCAGTATTATCGTCATCAAGATTAAAATTATCACCACTATTATCAAAATTAATATTACTGTTCTTATATAATATCTTTTAATAGTTTATCACTATCGTCATCATCATCATCATTTATTATGATCGTTACCTTCATAATCATCTTCATTTATTAATATCACCACCATCATCACTGGTTGTATTATCATTATTACTACATAAAATTATCAATATCACATTATCATTATCAATTATCATCAAAATTATTTAATAATAACTGAATACCAAAATTGTAAGACAAGATTACAAGTCAACTAACCTCTGCAATACAATTTAGGATGGTGAGACATAGTCGAGCATGGTTTAATCGTTCATTATCTGCAAGGATCAAGCACATGGGAGATAATTAAGTGTTCAAAATTAATATTGTGAATTCGTTAGTCAGACACAATTTGCATTTGTTAATGTGACAATAACAAACAGGACACAAAGTGAAAGACAGTGTATAAATGTAACAATGTTCTACCGGTAACACTGATCCTGGTGCAGGCCTGTAAAAAGCATTCCTTAAAGGGGGAGGGAGTATTAAGTACACTGGTGACATCCAGGGGAAAAGCCATTGCAGGGTCAGGAGGGGAGGGGTGGAGTGGAGCGTTGGATCTAAAGCACTTTAACATTTAACTGGTGAAGTTAATTATCATTTTAATGGAATAGCAGGTTTGGTTTCAATGAGCCACGGAAATCTTTCATTAATAAGGTGCTGATAGGTGTGGTAGGTAACAAAAGAAACTATATTTTGAAACAAATCTATGGTGATCCATGTAAATGTTTACTAAGGTAAAAGATTAAATATATAGAATTTAGATACCTTTTGTGTCTTGCATAATGATAGAACAATAACTAAAGAATGTAGCTAGAATATTGGTTGGAGTTTCATTGATTTGTGCTGTGTCGATTGGGTGGAGACCAGGAACGGCAGGTGAAGAGGCTGATGTCGGCTTTTCTGATCGGGAATCCAATTCAGCATGATTCTAAAAACACAAAAAGATAAAAAATAATTAAACCAAAAAAAAAAAAAAAAATTAAATGTGCTTTAAAAAAACATGAATATTTAATGAATTGTCTTGTAAAGTGGAAACTACTGGAGACAAGCATACCAGCTTATGTGAAGTATCTGTACTGCCCCACCATGACAAAAGGAAGCAATGATGTTTGCACTGCTCTGAGTAATTAAGGAATATGGAGCATGTTGATTTTGTCCCCTGCTTCCTTTTCTGGTGGTTTTTGCTGTATTTTTAGTCTCTTACTTCCTTTTTGTGTTGCTGATTACTTGTTAATGAGTGGGATTTGAACATACTCAAATATATCAATATGTTTCAAATTATTAGTTCTTTGATAGTGACTTGAAAAAAACTCGTTTTTGAAAAATTGTCAGTTACTTCCTTTTGTCATGGTGGGGCAGTGTATACATGTGGCCACATACACAGAATGAGGCTCTACCTATATATGGCTCATGTAATATAACTGTTTTAAATGGTTCTATTAATTTGCATGTTTTCATACTTTTAACTTTCTTGAATAGGGGTGACATGAGCGCTTTATAATTCTCCTGTATCATTTTTAAGAAAAATTTATATTTAAGGAAATAAGGAATATTGAAAACTTACATGTGATAAAACTGTGATGAAATTCCTATTGAGGTGTACGGCTTCATAGAGAGTTAATAATATAGAAAGATTGGTATCCTTGCTGTAAAATAAAAGGGAAAATTATATGAAATGGGAATATTGGTACTGAGCATGACAGGCACTGCTATGTGGCTACAGCAAGTCTCCATGGTCCTGATCTAAATTTTTAACAAGGACCACATATACATTTCCATATTAATAATAGCCAGGAGTTTAGGTGGGGTGCTAATTGCCAGCTACAGTATGATGGAATACTCCCCAGGCCGAACTGAGTATGCACTTAAACAAGTCTGGTTACAGGGCTTAGAAAGTGGAGTTGCTTTTTATTGGTTAGAAAAATCTTGGTGTCAAAGGATTTGAACACAGACTCTGTGATAGGAAGGCAAATACTATATTGCATTAAAGAGTTATTTTTCAAGATTTTTCAAGATAGGATTTAATTAGCTGCTGATTACTAGCTGCAGTACCACGGAATACTATAAACGCCTGTTGAAAGACTCACAAAGTGGAGTTGTTTAGTTAATCATTAGATTAAGGACAGGATGACAAAAGACCCTGGGACTGGAAGGCAAACACGTTCCTCACCACACCAAATTTCCATTTTGATCAGCAATATTGGATGGATCATTTATTTTAAGGTCAATTTAACAAAAATGTAAAGTGCATAGAGGCATCTGGATAAGTTCTTTAAAATTAAACAATATAAGTTGTAAAGACTGCAATAAACAAAAGATGGTAGGAGTAAATTAAGATGTGTTTTATTTGAAATATACACAGCGAAAAACAGAATGATAAATTGAAGATCAGCAACACTGGATGGGTCATCCTCCAACAAAAATGTAAAGTGCATAGAGGCATCTGGATAAGTTCTATATAAAACTAACATCATTAAATTAAACAACATTAGTTGTAAAGATTGCAATAAATTAATAAAAGATGGTAGGAGTAAATTAAGATGTGTTTTAAAAAACAGAATGATAAATTAAAGAATAATTTGAAGGTTGAAACAGTCCATACCCAATGGCTTGAAGTCCATCTGAATCAGCAACAAACATACTTCCAACCTATTTAAAAACAATTATTATATAAATATTTATGATAATATTCTATGTTAGAAAAAACACTTAAATTTGGCAACATCTTTGTGAATACAGTACATCAAAAAAGCATTGCACATGAAAATATTAAACGTATAGTGCACAATAATATTGTATTTCATATTGATACCTCTATTATATGTATGTGTATTATTATTATTATTATCATTATCATTATACCATGATTATACAAAGTGTCAGAAAATCTGACAATAGAGGGCGCAATTTTCAAAACTGATGAATATTCATAATCCCAGTTGAAATCATTTTCTATCATTTTAAAATTCTTGTGTAATTTGTGGAAGCTCAAATTAAGATCATTAAGCACAAAATAAAAACAATAAAATCAATTGTTAGCTTTTATATCTTAACTATTGTTATAACAAAATACAAATATTTAGACACCATGATATAACATAAAATAGTGTTTATAAATTTGATGGAGCTCAAGCACAAGTTGATCCTTCCATAATCATGGAATAATGATGAAAGGTATTTCATGCACCATGCATGAGAGGGGCTGACCTCCCTACTTGTTACGTGAAGCACCTCACCTATCTGAATCCGGAAGGATCATTTTTTTTATTCAATAAAAATGTTTACATAATGCAATTTTTAAGTGACAAGAATTGTTGTAAAAAAAAAAAAAGAATTACAATATCCCTGTGGTGGAAAAGAGTGTTGCTGGTACCGGGTTACCGGGTAGCACAGACACGAAGGGACCCCTAGGGGTGAAGAAAGTCATTGATTGAGTTCCTAGTCCACATATCAAGTGCCCTGAGCATCTTATGTTAGATGGATATGTGCGCTATATAAAACTACACTATTATTAATATACCTATAACAATAATTACTTTAATTAATTAAGTGTTTGTTTAAATACTGGATTGATACTTATTGGTCTACAGAAAAGGTGATTAAATTTTGGGGTAAAAATATTAAAGGTCAAAGTGACATAAAATCCAAAGAACAATAAATAGACCATAAACTTTAAAGAAGTGTTAGATACTGCCAATGACATTTTGGGGTAATAAGGTCATCAAAAAACACAAACAATGTTGGCGGAGGTATGCACTCTGTTGAGCGTCTGCTCTAGTTACATTATTATTATTAATAGAAAAGTAATAGTTACTGTATTATACACTGAACCTACCATATTAGTAATAGCTGAGAACCATCCCCCTCCAGATATAGCATCTTCACCCCTTGCCCCAAACTGCCTGTTAATAGAAGCATACTCTCCATTAATTATCACATTTTAATAGCATCATAAAAATAAAGGCAAAAGTCAGAAAACCCCTATTCAATAGTTGAGTTCGTATACAGTATAAAGTTATACTGTATTTTTTTGCCAAAGGATACTAGGTGCTTTTCAGTGTTATTATTACCACTGACTGGCCATAAATGAGAACAATTGTAGTCTCAAGGGCCAACATTATGCCAAACAGCAAACTTAGCCACTTTGCAACATGTGACAATCACAAGACAAACATATACACAAGATGCTCTACCTAGAGTAAGCCGCTAATATTTATTAATCTTATACCCTATTCACACTAGCATTGCAATCGGTTGTAACTCAACTGCGACACCCAACCACACCCAATCGCAATTCACAATCGTGCGTGAAAGCTCACCAATCACAGTCGATAAGTAATCAATATCACATTTGTTAGCCATTGCAATTGGGTGATACAATCTATATTACTTCAAATTGCCACGGAACCCGATCGCAACGAATCACAACAAATTCCACAGGCACTAATTGGCTGAGGTCAGTCAACTTAGATCTAGCCACCAGAGGCCTAGAACCGCTTGACATCCTGTTTCAATATAAAGTTTTTTGTGTCTGGTTTGGTCTGAATGTGCTTGTTGATTGCGATTGGGAGTCGGTTTTGGATCACAACCGATAACATCGCAACTGACTGCATCTGGTGCCTTCCCAGGTATTGAACAAGGAACCTGGGAGTAAAAAGCAAGGATTTTAAACACCAAGCTACTAAACTCTAGTCAATATCAAGATGTCATAAGTGAAAGGATTATATAATAGTGGGTAAAAATTTGTGAAGATGGATTTAAAATAGAGTTCAGATATTATAAATTCTTGGGCCAGATACTGACCTGTTGAATTCTGCTAATGCTGATGAGATCACACAGCCTAGACCCTGCAAGCGAAAAGTAAAAAAAAAAAATAATCCGACACTTGTTTTTCATCAGTTTATGTTCATTATACTTTATATGTCAGAAATATATTTGTTTTTATTTTTGCTTTTTTTGTTTTCTCTATATAAATTAATTATTGTCTTGTTTTTGTAAGATTACACCATCAAGGTGTGCCGATGATATACAAGCCTTATCCAATCAATTGACTGATTGGCTTCTTGATGCATTCGCAATAGTACTGATGATGCTAAAAATAAATTGTAGAAACATTATTTTAAAAGGTTTGCATCTGGGTTCAGATACAAAATAGAGGAAAGAAAACAGTAAGTCTCTTTTGGCTATTTTCTAGTCATTCTATATATACCCATATTTGCCTGCATCAGCTAATATTCCGGCAAGCAGCACCACATTTGCTCGTCTGTTATGATTGAATTGGTAGCATAAAAGGCTTATTTCATTAAATATACTTCATTTAATTAATGTTAATTAACCTATTTAACTATAAGTATTAACATTATTGTAACTTAACGTTAAAGTATACATATTATAATTTTGTTAATGTTTTACTAACATTTGTTATACACTGAATGCAATTTCTTATTGTTTTAACATTCTCTTTAATTTGTGAGAAATACTACTGTACTATGGTCTGAACAGAATATTGATATGATTTCTTTACTTAAAGTTTACAGGATTTTAATGTTTGCAGTACCCTCATATTGTTGTGTAGCAAAATAAAAAGTAGAATTTGAAATTAGCAAAAAACATTTACGAGTTGATTCATGACTCAGATATTACCTTTGGCCTGTGAGCTCAACTCAAAAAATGTGTTGCCCCTTTAAACAAATTAATTAAGAACCTGGGATGCATATGGCCTGATTATTCTTGATAGTAAGAATTATTATTACTCACCGTTAATGCAAGCTCATTGTCTAGTATTGACAACTTCAAGATATATGGATTAGCAGACTGAAAGAAAAATAATAATTTTGATAAAAAATTGTATATGACATTAGTAATAAACATTTAATAATAAAAAACAAAGTTAATTATAATATTAACTGATTAATAATATAATACATGTTTGATATATGATAATTATAATACTGTAAAAATACAACCATAAAATTACAATAATAATAACAAATGCAACTTAACAAAATCTGTATAATATTCAATGACTGAGGCAGCATTGACGACGATAACAACCACAACAATGGTAAAAATAAGATTAAGTATAAAACATAGTTACAACAATATTTATGATAGTAATAAATATATATCTTACCTCATGTTTTCTGTAGTTGACTAGAATGGTAAGCAAGAGTACAGAGTCAAAACCATGATGCTGTCTGGATGCTGGATCAGCAAGGATCTAGAGAACATATAGATATAAACATTATTTTTGTGTGCTAATTTTAAAATACTTCATTCATAGTATTTACTATACTAAGTGCTTATTATTGTATGATAGTTTAATCTTAAGCTTACAAACATGTGATGGTAATGGTCTTGTATTTCTATAGTCCTACCACATTATCCAAACTATAATAAACAAATAACAATACACAACCACTAATACACCCCAACCCCATCCTCATTAAACGGAAGTGATATTGAAGTTGACCACACAAGAAGGTAAAAAACAAAGGCAAGAACAGAGCGACAAACATAGAGCAAACATAAATTTTTTCTACTACTTACTTTTAATATTGATTCAAACACACTATTGATCATTAAATACTCCAGAATTGTATTCTGACTGACATTGTCTGTGACCTGTTGGAAAATGAGAAAAAAAATAGTTAAAACATAAATTAGGTAACAAGAATTGGTACAGTAAAAAGAAGAACAGGGTATCAGTTTTAATGCATCCACTTCCCTGCATTCTGCATCAATGGGACTCATTTATATATTAGGGAAGATAACATAAGATTACATACCGTGACCAGAACCAATAAAAGTCGAAGAGTAAGGTTCTTCAAGCTTACAGAGTATTCACCTGTAAGGAAGCCATTCAGATGCATTATCAGAGCCTGAAAGGAAACATGTTGATTAGGTGAAAACATATTGAAATCTTGCAGTCTGAGGATTTAAAAAGGGTTAGATTGAGGGGCATGCAGTAGAAGAGTTGTTTTGAGACATTTTGACACACTTACGGCTACAAGAAGCAGTCAATACCCTCTCTTAATATTTGTATTCACTCTACATGTATTTATACTTCTTGCCCCTTCTCTCCTTATTCACTCACCTGCATTTGTGTTTCTGCCGAATCAAAGCCTATCAAAATATTGATGATATCAAAACTGTGATCTCCTAAACGCTTCTTGTGCACCCCACGTACAAGAGCACATAGTGTCTGCAACATGAAAATTTAAGAAAACAAAATTACAGAAGACAAATTATAGATACTGTTTTTATGTCAAACTAAATATGCAGCAGTCACATCATGTGCTCCCTCTAGTTGCATGTAAACACTAATGTTTCTGACTGATGATGTTTAGGCGACACTCTTTTTTATACCTTGTTTCGCAAACTTATTTTTTTAAAGATCGATAGAGGAGGATGGAAAAAAAAATTGTTTTCTTATTTAGCAAATAGATTTGCCAAATCTCCAGACAGAGGAGAAAATAAAAAAATAATTTTATTTCGTGAATGTAAACAGTGTAGTAATGGGATGATTAATACTATTTATATACTATTTTTATTATGATGTTATTGTTGTTATTATTGTTATTATGCTTTTCTACAATGTTTTTGCATCTTGTTTACAGTGTACGCTATGGTAGTTGACACATGTACAGGGACGATTTCCCTTTGTTAACTACCATCTCGTGTGAGGAAAATAAAATTAATGAATTATGAAAATTATGAATTAAACGCTTTCAATTTATATAATTAGGAAGAAATAAACATTTCTTATTTTTTGGAGATTTCAAGAAATCGGCAGGTGTAATAAAAATAAAGGAAAACTATTTTTTCTGAATTTTCCAATTTTTCATGGCGGTGGGTGCGCTAATTGGCCAAAAATGGTGTGTTTCCTGACATACTGTGGAGGTCCCTGGAAGCTTTGGAATTTTAGCCATTATAATCTCTTATCTAATTGTTTTTACACTTGTGATTTTTTGGCAGCTACTGGGGTGAGGGAGGTGAATATAACCCCATTTGCCACCCTTGGATACTGTAAAACCTCGAATTGAAGCCATGGGTTTCTTTTTTTTTTTTTTTTTTTGCAAACTTTGGATGGGCTTCTTTTCGAGGCTACATTTGCAAAGTAAAGTGGGGCTTCTTTTCAAAAATGAATGCTGTAAATTTTGGGATTTAGTATTATACAAAACATAAACACATTAACATCAATATGTATCATGGAGTGACAGCATTAAACCACCTAAACTACTGTATACACCAAGCGTGTTTTTAATTTATTTTGTTTCTTTGAAATTCATGTACAGTGTATGTACTGTACTATCTCAAAAAGGAAGCCTATGCTATCTTAAAAAGAAGACCATGGGCTTCTTTTCGAGGCTAATTTTGCAAACTAAAGAAGGGGCTTCAATTCGGGATGGGCTTCTTCTCGAGATTAAGCCCACTGGGCTTCAATTCGAAGTTTTACAGTATGCCATTGAACTACTAGATATAACCAACCTGTAATGCATTGACTATTCGTAACAGATAATCTTCCTTCAGTGCCTCAACACAGTGGTAGAAAAGGTTATTAATGTTTTCCTTAAACAAAAGCAAACAATGAGAGTTAATATTTACATAAACTATTAGATAGAAGTGATGTTTTGCCCTACCTGATGTATTATCATAGAGTACCACAGTCGTGTCGTCACGACGCCAGGTGGCGCACTCTGTTGTCAACAGATAGGTTACCGTTCATTACGCCTGAATGACTGCATAGTCTTTCGGGAATAGGCATTTAATACTAAAAACACAAAAGCTCGCATTATATTAGTTATTGAACACACATTTAATCATCAATTAAAATTTACAAAGAAAAAGTAAGATACAACATCTTAATAATTATGTTAGAAATTGGGATCAGTGGTTTGTTAGTGGCGCAAATGGCGTCGGGTTGAACGCATTTTGCAACGATAGCAACTGAGTAGTATAGTATCACGTGGTATTGTGATGTAACACTGTAGTACTCTATAAACACACAAACTAGTTTATGCATTTCACCAATTATGCTTAACTTAAAAATTATGAAAACAAGCAGTTCAAATGACTGATTGATTGACTGATATTTTTTGGGGTAAAACACATCAAGGTTAACCCTGGAAGTCTGAAGACCTACTTCCAGTGATGGTGTCCTTTTGGAGGTGAATAAGGCAGTACATCAGGTGACGATCCGCTGCTTTTATTCTTTAGAGTGTACATTCCTAATTAACATGCACATGGGCCATATTACAGACAGGACCAACAGCAACATTTCTTCCCAAAAGATAATGTGCTATTGTAACTAGCATTTCAGCCCTCAAACACATGGAAAGCAACAATGGCACTGAAACAGCTAACAAAAGTCTGAGAAGATCCACATGGTTTAATACACAAAGAGTGGCTACCCCTGATTTAGCCAACTGAGCTATGGTGTTTTCACTAGCCAAGCTTTTATCTTATCTATCCTACCTTCAATGCAACCACTTGCTCAGGCTTCATTTTTCCGAACTCAGATTCTATATATTGCACATTAGCCTGCAATACAATGAGAATATTAATAAAAAGAAACCAAACATATAAATCATATAGAGAGTATAAAAATGTGTAACAAGTTCTATGGTTTTGTAACTTGCATTCTGTGGAATTATATTTAATTTTAAAAAATGCAATAGCAAACATTTGCAGTGTTCTTTCTGCCTGTTTTCATTTGTACTGCATTTTTTAATGTTTATAATCTTTGACTATACTTTCAAATTGGCTGAAAATCAATTTAGAAATTTTCAGTGTAAAAAAGTGTATAAATCAGCAAAAAACATACTTATTTTGATTTGTGTAGTCACTCACTCACTCATGTGGACACATCCCGAGAAAGAGTTTACAATGCTTCATAAGGAATCCTTATCGGCCATCAGATTTGTTAGGTCATTAGATTATTGGAACTTAAGTTTTTTCTTAGAGAAATTCAACATTTTAATTAAATTTGTGAATATATTAAGATAGACATATATACCGTTAAACAAGTTTAGTTTTAATTAAAAATAATTGATCAGAAAAACTATTTTGGCATGAATTTTATAAGAACACCAAGATATCAGTTGCAAATTTTGAATGCAATCTATTATACAGTAACTATTGTTACTATACCTTTAATAAAAACATCTCATCCCAGAAATTTGGAACTCCTTTAGAAGGATCTTGACCCTAAAATATAAAAAAAAAAATCATTAAAATTATGTACTTTTTTTTGTCTGATAAATCATATGCTGACACTACAGGGGGCTTGACCTGTCTAATGAGGAATTAAGCCCACCCCTGCAACAACTAAAACACATAATTTACCGTCAAAATGTGTTATTGCATTGATCAAGATTTGGAACACTCTACCCATTACAGTAATATAAAAGTGGATAATCTTTGATTACTTTTAAAAAACATGTTAAGGCCTTTTTATTTTCTAAAGCTTCAATTGTTAATTCTTATTGGTGGTTATTTTTTTCTGTGTTCGTGAAAGAACTGCATTTTATCCATTTTAATGTGGATTTTCTAAGTTTTATGTGAGAGGACTCTCAGCCTTGCTGAGTTGGACTTCCTAGTTAAATATTAATAAAGAAAGAAAAAATAATGACTTATTGATCCTAACAAGGTTAGAGAAAATGTAATTCCACTGGTGCAGAACATTATAAAATAACAATAATAATAATAATAATAATAATAATAATAATAATACTAATAATAATAATAATAATAATAATAATAATAATAATAATAATAATTAATAGAATGTGTTGAGAATGATATTGCTTCCATTAAATTTCATTTATGGGAGTGTTTATTTGTGGAAAAATTTAATGCCTTGAGGGAGGTGTTTATTCCAAGTGCGGCTCTAGAGGGGGCGTATATTTGAGAGGGAAGTTTATTCAAAGCTGGATGTTTATTCAAATAAATATGGTATTCAAATTTTGAATAATGTTCATGTGTGAATGACTGCAGGTTATTACACTAATGCTTGACAGCTTAATATGCTAAAACCCAACTAGAAAATTTAAGAGGTTAGAGCTTGGCATGATGTTGCCAAGGCTACAAAAGATGTTGGATGCACATACTGTACCTGAAAAAATGCATCATATATCTGAACGATCTTTTCCTTGAGAGCACCCTTGGATCCTGAGCTGGTTCGCAGCACTCCATCTTTGTAGGTTTCAGGCATCTTGTTGTGGGTTGTTGAATAAGATGTGATTGAAGACAAATTCGGCCACGACAACTATTTCGTAGAACTAATCACCATTAAGTGTTTACCACCTTGTCTATTGTGTGCCTATGTAGCATTTGGGGGGAAATGTTTTAATTGACAAGATCCTTGTTTCAGAATTTAATTAAACGCCGTGGCTAGCGATACAGTACCATATCTCTACTTCAATTTGCTAAAGGTACGGTAAATGAAGAGCCAGAATGTGTGTGACATCCTCTTTCAAGACTGGCATTGCAGATCACCCACGATAAGCGGTGAAATGCGAACGATGTACTGGACTCCTTATAGTACTGTCATCAATAAACAGGCGTATGGTTCCACTCAGTAAGATCATGTCATTTATCTATATATAGCCATTTTCAAACAAGGACTGAATCCTATACCAAACTCTGCATATGCTACTAGGCCTTGCTTAAATTCTTCGCTTGGTGAAGAACCTAAGCTTATTAAAGGTATCTTAAGATTCTAATAAATAAAAAAAAAATTATATGCCGAGTAATACGGATAATAATAATAATAATAATAATGGTAGCAATAATAAAAACATAATATTGCTTATTATATTGTATTTTTATGGCTACCTTGTTTTTGGTGTTTTGAGTCTTGAATAAACACATTAATAAATACACAAATCAATTGTGACAATATAAATAAATGATGATACTATTAAAAATATGCCTATTAGATACATTATATAAAGGCAGTTAATAGAAATTATTATAATAATTATGTAACAATTTGCTATACAGTATGCCTGGGTCTACTAACATATTCAATTTTTAGTTTGGTATAAACGAATTAACAGGTCATCTGGGCTATGATTTTATTATTCCCTATCATTTAGGTAATTCCGTATCATTTGGGTAATTCTGTATCACTTGGGTAATTCCCCATCATTTGGGTAATTCGTCGGACCGAGCAAGGCCTAGGCTTGGATACTTTGTTTGGCGTTGGCCCTGCTATAGTGAAAAATCGATCTGGTGGCATATATCAGTCATAAACAAATTCGTCCACATGTGGTAAAGTTCTCAACCCCCAAAACTCATCCCAAGATTTAGTCCAAGAAGTCTAGGTTACATTCAGGCCCGTATCCAGGGGGGTTTTATGGTTCGGGAGAACCCCCTTTTCTAGAAAACCCCCTTCTTTTCTGGCGAAACCCCCTCTTTAAATTTCCCAAATAAGTCCTCCAACCCAACTAATGCACTGAAGACCCACCCAGACACGGACATTTTCAAACATATCTGCATTTATAGCATTATTTAGACCCATAAATCACAAAAATCCTCTTGCTTTGGGGGTTTCGCCGACCCCACCGGGGCCTTGACTGTGGTCCTCACGCCCAGAAAACCCCCCCTTGGAAGAACCTGGCTACGGGGCTGATATTTATATTCGAAATTACCACGCTTTACAATCTGACCAACATATTCATGCATAACCATACCTCCTTGATTTACCCAACTTTCCGTAGACTTCGTCACTGTTATGGTAATTCTCCCAATCGTAAACATCATTCGTTCAGCCAGAATTCAGATCGAGAGAATTAGTTTCCACAATCGTGATTATAGTGTCAAATTTGTTGAATATACTTTTGATGCAGGCCCATTTAAACAGTACTAGGCCTAGTACTTCTATAAGAATCCTCTTTTTTTAGTGCATAGGTAATGGTGATGTAATGCCAATGACCGTACCTTTAGCAAATTGAAGTAGAAATATGATGATACTGTATCTCTAGCCATGGCGTTAATCATAATGACACTAAACTATGTTGGTTTACAAACTAAATTTATTATAAGATTTAAAGTATGAAATTACATATGAGAGGAAATTTCCAATTACAAGCTAATTGTGAAATTAATTATATGGCTAGCCTAGATGCCAATAACTTCCCTCTTCAAATCATGTCCTAAAACACCTGTATTTCTGTCTTTAGGCCAATTATAATTAATTATATAAGTAATAAATAAACTAAAAACTGAAATTATAGGCCTAAGAGAACACCTTTTACCAAAAAGCAAGCACATATTATTTTGGCAGTTGAACTTACTAGACTGCCACTTAAGCCTAGACTAGCAATAAAACAAACGTAGGCAAACGCCTTGGCCTCCTCTTGCAATGCAGACCGGTCGGCTTATAGGTAGGCCTAGGCCTAGTTATACTAGGCTACTAAGGCTAGGCAAACTAAGGATCCCTAGGCCTATCCCATCTGAAATTATAATGCAGTGACTTAGGTCTACGTACATTTCATAAGTGGGATATCTGTCCAACAACAATGTTACTGTTAATAATTCAGTTCGATGATAGAAAAGCGATTACCGCAACTCCCATCATTATTACTCGTCATCAAGTTTTGACACGCACGAGTGACTCCACTCTCACACGAGCGTGTTCGTTTTCGTGCGGTCTATGCCACAAGCGTTTACTTCTCAAACTAAAACGCGTTTCAGATCAAGAAATCATCGATGTGTCAACATTCAAATTAGGCCTACAGTTGGCCTACTCAAGCCCGACCCGAAATAAAAACGGGAATTTCTCAACAAGAAAGCACCCGCACCACCTGCAAAAATCAGTAGGGCCTATGTCTGTGATGAAAACAATAAATTCATATTTGAATTGATATTGTGTGTTTAAGTAATTGTAATTAACTTTCAATTTAAATTAGAATGGAAAACAATGCTGTATAAATAATATGTAGGCCTATAGGATGAGCTCCAAAAATGCCCATTTTCATTTAAGAGATCAGCGACCCCGATAGAATTTGGTAGCACTGTTAAAGTTACCCGGGAAGTATACCTCAATGAACAGTGTTCAATAAATACTTTATTTAAAGCCATGCTCTGGAGGACATTTTTTTGATATGTCGTATGGAATTTTATAAACAAAAAGCGACAAAAATACCCGGGAGCGGTTAATGAGATACAGATTTTTAGAAAAATCAGTTGTACAACATGTGAAAACATTATTTTTGCTCTGGAGCCTGCCTTTAAGAATTCAAAGATTAGACGCAAATCAATTTGGAAGCAAGTTGTCTATATGTTAATAGTATTCATAAGTGGATGAAATTTTGACGCAAAACATCTGCAGTTATTGAAAATGAGTAGATTTCATAACTTGGAACCGGGGTGACAGAACAGAGCCATAAGTCTTTAATAAATATGTTGCACAACAATTTTTGGGGATTTATTTTTCCATTATTAGTCCTATTAATGACACATTTGAGTGGTAGGCTAGGAATCATTACGGGATTGTCGGGGTTCTTGATCCTATCCTACTAAAAAAAATATTATATGCCTATACCGTAAATAAAATCATAAAGAGGTCTCAGATGGCAGTGAATGCTTTGGATGATGCCAAGAGAAGGACAATTATGAATAAGATAATAATAATATTACGAATAAGATGGCATACAGCAAGTCCTGTTGCCCATTGAGGCGTTTTTTGCAAAGGGAAATCCCCTAAACGTGCTTGGTGACGCAATATGGAACGCAGCACAGTGCAAAGTAGTACTGAATTTTAAAAAAGTAAATAATTAAAACATGGCGATGTCTGTGTTTAATACTTCGAAGCCGTACGAGGCAGTTCTACAAATGTTTTTTAATGCCATGTGGAGCGGCTGGCCAAGAGCCAGAAGGGTGTGTTAGGAAATTAAGTGAGAGACCCAGTGCTTGGTTCGATAAATGTAACAAAATCGGTGTCTTAGATGCTGAAATGAGTTACTATGATTCGAGTAAGTTCAGCAAGCCTAAAATCGGACCGGAACAGGCGGCTGTGGTATTCTTGCACGGGAACCCAACATCTTCGTTCCTGTGGAGAAATATTATACCACATGTCGAAGGGTTGACACGCTGCTTAGCACCTGATTTAATTGGCATGGGTCGCTCTAGTAAACAGAAGAATAACTCGTACCGATTTTCGGATCATTACCGGTATCTATCTGCCTGGCTTGAAAGTGTCGATCTACCAGAGAAAGTCGCAATAGTGTGTCATGATTGGGGTTCGGGTCTTGGGTTCCATTGGTCTCACCAGAATCCATCCAGAGTGAAAGGAATCGTCCACATGGAGAGCATAGTGGCAGTTGTGCCTTCATGGGAAGCCTTCCCAGAAATTGCACAAAATATCTTCCAAGCAATGCGATCTGAAGCTGGTGAAGAAATGGTGCTAGAAAATAATTTTTTCGTTGAGAGGCTTCTCCCCACGAGTGTAATCCGTGAATTGTCTTCAGAGGAAATGACTTGTTATAGAGAGCCATTCTTAAACAAAGGAGAAGATAGACGACCTACTCTTACATGGCCAAGAGAAATTCCTGTCGCTACAGAAGGTCCCCAAGATGTTGTTGATATTGTCAATGCCTATCAAACATGGCTGTCAAAATCCGCTGACATTCCAAAATTGTACATAAATGCTGAGCCAGGGTTCTTTAGTTCTGGGATCAGAAAAGTTACTGAGAACTGGCCAAATCATGAAACTCTCTCTGTTAAAGGATTGCATTTTATCCAAGAAGACTCGCCAGATGATATTGGAAAAGCAGTTCACCACTTTCTGAAGAAACTTTATTTGTAAAATATACATCGAGTGGAAAACACCATGATGATGCCTTACATTTTCTCACATTTATTATACCTAGTAAAATATAAACATCCAGGGTTCCAGCTTGTAATTGGTTGTTATACAGTACAAGTCTGTTGACATATGACTTTGTAATTTGTTATATAACTGATTATAGTCTGTATGTTTCCAGAATTAATAAGCAGCCTGTTCAATGAATGAAAACCTTGTTTTTTTTTAATATAAGGTAGAAATAGAAGAAATCAATAATTTAATGTGAAACAATAAAAGAAAATTGCAGGTTGCAAAACATCTCTTATATTGACTTCTTGTCAGTGTCCCACAAAACCATCTCAAGAAAAATATGGAATGTTTAAAATTGAATAGCAATTTAAAAGGTACAATGAGTTGGAATGTGTAATTTCTCTTAATTTTGAAATATTATCATGATGTTATGTGATTTGTGTTATGATAACTTGACATGATTAGTATGCACTTAATCAATTCAAGAATAAAAATGTTTGGAACAAGTGGTTTGGAATGATGTTGTAGCACAGTGAATGGGAAACTAATTAATAATTTGTAGAAAGTGCCACTCTAGAATGATAGGTGCCTCTCTTGAATAGCCTCACACTGCAGCTTCACATTCAAAAATGTTATTAGTACCATGGTGCTTATTTGGTCTGTTAGAGAAATGTATAAATGCACTTTGCTTAGAATTTGAAGTTTATTGATATTTGAACATTTGTATACGAACTGTTTACAAAAACATGCAAATTGAATACCAAATCAAATACAAATAGTCGAAAGTCGAAGTCGATATTGCTTCCACGGTTACAATGAATTATTCATTATGTCAGTGGTATCCTTGAAATTTCAAAAAAAATATAGTCAGTCAATTACAGCTTGGACACGGATAGGTCTGTCTGTTTCGACTTATTTACGAGTGATACCACAAGTTTACGAACTCCGACGTTACTTGACGCAATCTCGCCATGACATTATGATAATGATAAATTAAGTAAATCACCTTTATGTATGTGAAATAAAAATGCTAACTATATCCCTTGTGTGCTTCTTATCTCCTTAGTCCTGTTTTGATCGTAAGTTAGACGGTTGTATTTCCACTCACAAGTGTAGTCGCAACACTACTTGCACAAAAACGAAATCATCAAAAAGAGAAGAAAAGGAAAAACCTCTTGATTGATTTTAAAATACTGTAAATGCAAAGAGACTATAGAATTATGATAATAAAATATCATTATTTTCATGAATGTTAGTTTGCACGAAAACCGGGATAAATTGACAATTAACGTAACCAGAGTGCGTTAATCTGCGTTAAGTTATCCACGTGACCAAAACAACATGTCCGATTAGTAAGTTTAGAAACATCTGCGTTAATATAATTTAGATTAAATTTCAGAAAATAAAAATTATAATACTTACCTAGGCCTACATGAAGTAAATAATAATTTTATCCCAATAGAATTAAAAAACGGGATGAAAAAAATTCTTTTACGAAAAATCCATACTGCCACAAGCCGAAGCAATCTTGATTGCGCAGCTTGTATCGCGGTAACTATGCAGCCATTTTTTTTTGTTTTGTCGAGTATTTACAAGTTTTCTGTGTGACTGGTCGTCTTCGTTAAGTAAGATTTTACCACTGCGCAGATGGGCGTGGTTTAACGAAGAACGACTAGTCGAATACGGCCATTAATTAATATTATTAATATCATTTTTCCATTGACGTAAACGATCAATCTAATTTCTTTATTCTTTTTTTTCCAAAATTGTGTTGATTGGATAGTGAGTTAAATAGGAAGGATAGGAATATTAACAATATTAAGAACCATTAAATTTATTTTCGTAAATGTAGGCCCTAATGACATTTACAGCAATTCTAAATTAAATAATGCTACGTTTTCATGAAATTATGCATAGCATTAATGCTACATGCTACAGAGGTCCAAATTATGCCAAAAAACCTGATTATGCGAAGCCTTTATGCCTCATGGTTCAAAATTGAGGCTGACTGGTTATAGGGCCTATCTAATATAAATGATTACTACATTCCTCTTCCTAAGATTATTAATTATTTCTGAGTAATTCTGTCTGTAGTAATTTTTTTAAAATCATGTATAACATATTGATGATTTTACCATTACGCGTCATTCTGATATTTATATCGTGCATAGAAGTCTGCTGTTTTATTCCATGCGGTGTTTTTCATCGATATAAGCCTTTCATTTACGTGATGTTTACGGTGAAAAGGGAGAGTTTTATAACATTAAATCCCACATGCATTTGTCCTTTCATTTTGATGTGTATAATGAGAATCAGTTATTGGTGTTCTCGTGACTGACGTCATGTGACGTATAAGAAATACATATTAATCACCATAATCACGTTTAGCTATCACTTCAAAGCTTTAATAGCCACCAGATCTAAATGTGTATTTCAGACCTGAACATTCACTTTAAACCTCGTTCTCGAGTCTCTGTGAACCGATAGTTTGAAATGGAAACAACTAACTCATTTGAAAATTACACATTTTATGAGGCGGACTATTCAGACTCTTACAGCAACAAGCTTCAATTAGTATTAGATTCCGATTCAATATATGAAATAATCATTTTTTTACTTGGAATATTCTCTTTCGTTGGTAACACTTTTGTTGTGGCAGTCATCATAAAATGTCCCGCACTTCACACTTACAGCAATTATCTCGTTGCAAGTTTTGCAATTGTCGACCTTACATCCAGTGTTATTACTAAAATGTCTACTGTTAAAGAGGATCTGTTGATAATAATGATGATGTATCTTACATACGTATCGTTGATTCATCTACTGGCGATTTCAATAGATCGATATTTGTTGATTACCAGACCATTTTCTTATCAGACAATTAGCAAAAAAAATGTATTTATATTGATATGTCTATGCCTTTCTTGGACAATTCCTCTGTTTACTTTTGCGATTAGTTTGAGCAACCCGGTCATTTTCGAATGTGAAAACACAGGTCGCCAGATTGGTCTGCTCATAATACTTTCTCTGGCAATGTATTACATCAGCTATATTGCAATTATATTTCTTAATATGCGTATGTATATTATAGCTCGCAAGCACTCTCACCAAATCAGCGCTGTTGTCTCTGGACAACTTAGACCGATGGAAACTGCCTCTTCGAAGGCAACAAAAACAACGATGATTGTGATTGGCGCATTTATCATATGTCCGACGCCATTTTTAACCATACTTACGCTTCTTTCATTTTGTTGCACATTGCTGAAAGGAACTTCATCTGTCGATTTTCTAGCCTTTATGTTATCTTTGAGTCCAGCCGCCAACCCAGTCATATACACTATCCGAAGACAGGAGTTTAAAAACGCAGCAAGAAGTGTGATAAAAATCCTCAAAAGAAGTTCCATTAACATTAATTAAAAATAAATAATAATAATAATTAATTAATTATTAATTATATAATCGGATATTTTGTCGTGTACTGCAAACATAACATAGTTTGTTTATGTTAATTGTTCTTGCACTATCGATATATTCTGTGATAGAATATATCAGAAGAAAATAATTTTAAAAGCGTTACAAATGACGTAATAAAATAACGAATAACTTTATAGAGTAATTTTGATCTTAAAAGCAGCAGTATAGTGAAGATTATACGAGAACGCAGTTTTTAATGGTCAATGATTGTGCACTTTTACAGCGAATTTAACATTCGTCTGATGCGCTTTCCAGGAAAACAGTAAAAAAAAAAAGAAGCAGAATAAATGGTTGGAACTGGAAAGTTGTAGAAAAAAAAACCCAACACAAATAAATTAAAGTGAAAAGAAAACAAAACAGGAGAATGGAGGAAATTGGAGATTGTCAAATAAGAATTATTTAAGATGGCGCTTAAAAATCATCTAATTAGGAGACTCTTGAACAGATTCCATATCTGGTAAATTCCATAATAAGTATTCAAAGAAATGAAGAAGCGTTAACGAGGGTTAACGTGAATGGAATGAAATAAAAGGAATTTACTGCATATGTATGACATTCCCCAAGCACCATTAATCTTCTGTTTAGTTAGGAATTAGAGCTTTATGAATTAAACTAGACTGGTTTTTCATGTAGGCCTATTTTTTATACTCTAGAGGCATTTCAAAGCAAAAGTTATTTCTGACAAGCTGTAGCTCATAAAACTTTGCAATTGTAAAGAAATATCCAAAGCAACAAATCAACTGGTATCATCAGAACTGTTATTTAGTTGGCTTTCTCGCGTAAACAAATCATTTTTCAATTTTTATATAAAATTCACTGTATTAACATAATAGAAAAAGCATAAATAGAATATTGTAAGGACTGATGTAGGCGTTAGACATATATTTTATTAAAGGCGCTGATATGAAAGGACAACAAGTAAAATGGTCCGTCCGTATCAGATTGCCAATTCCCACATTTTCCCTTTATCAAAACTCCGATAAAAATATGAATCTAAATTTCAGTTTAATCGTTAGCATGCGCGCACACTTCGGGCGACTGTCGTATTTCATTGATTTCCTTATTTGGGAAATTTGATTTTGCCTGATAGACATCCTTTTTGATGATGTATACATATCATCAATGTTGTATATAGTCCTATTCTATCTATAAATACTTCATATTTTATATTGTTATAGCACCACTAAACAATGTATTCTGCCTTGGATGTTGGCGCTATACAAATACTTTATTGATTGATCGATTGATTAAATATCAAAGTAATACATGCCATAGAACGATCATAAGTCATGATTTCTTGAATGTGTCTGTATTTATCGGATGCGGTTACTTTTTCTACGATGCAATTTACGTGCTTTGTTTTCAATGCGTCTTCTGAATATCTTCACTCGAATCAAATGGGGCTAATGATCTGAGACAACAGTACGGTAGTTATCTCAGGTTTGACAGAGTGCTGCTGCAATCATACAGGTTTTTTTCTAGGTACCCCTAAACTAGTCGAAATCCAAGTCACCCTTGGCGGCATCTCGCTAATGGCATCGCTGCCTAGCAAGTTTATAAGTTTTTGGATTTATTTTGATAACCCATGAATGTCCCAAGAGTTGTTTCTAGTGGGCCCTGATCTGAAGGTGATTGGGTAGTAGGCCTACACAGGGGCGTACGGTGAAAAATCTAAGGGGGGTCGAAACGAAAACGCAGGGGGAAAGCTGAACTCGGAGGAATTTAGCGAAGCTTTCAGAACTCGCAGGGTGCGTTATTTGTGAGTGAAGCGAGCAACTAGACTGAAGCTAGGGGGCCGCAAAAGGGGAAAAATTTACGTTTTTACGTTCTAGTGCATTAAGTTCAATACCAAGTCTGACAAAATAGGCCTAATTGTAAACGTAGTTTTTGGGCAACGCCAGACTATATTCACTCAATATACCACCAGGCTATTGGATTGCGGAACTCCTGAATACGGGCCTGTGAGCATTTCAGATTAAAGAATTAAAAAAAAAGGGGTTTTTTTTCTTTTTCGTGGGATCGTCCCACTTTTAATTTTTCTTAAAAATAAAGTTATAAATGTATATACTGTATTGAAAAATAAACAATGATATAGGGAACATATAATTACTTAAAGTAACATTTTGTATGCGTTTATTTCTTAACGTTTTCCTTTCAATTTTATATTTTAATATATTTCTTTAGTATGCGTTTATTTCTTAACGTTTTCCTTTCAATTTTATATTTTAATATATTTCTTTAA